TTGCATGAAGATAAAGATACAGCAAGGTTAATGAGCAGAACAGCCCAAACAACCTAGGAGTAACATATCTAGCAGTATGCATAACAAAATACTACTAATGTAGCCTAAGAACTGGGCATCCATTTAGACATGTACCAATTGTATACTTTCTTAAATATATATTCTTTCTTAAATGGGTGTTGGGGTTTTGCATACATGTACGTTAAATTTGCTGAAACAGTCATGCTGAAGACCTATATTTATGGGTGAATTCACTTAGTCAGTCGTTCTTTTGGATACTAGCTGCTTTCCCACAAATCTGCGTATGGAGAAGGTTAGACACCAGGAATTAGTTTCTCACATAACGTAGGAAAAAGGTTAAGAGGTTGGTAGGATTATGTCTAAATTTAAATATGTGTTTTTATATATACAGACATATATATCTGTATATATGAATATAGCTTTATTTACTCCTTAGATACTAGTTTTAAGAATCCTTCTGTAATGATATAAAGTTATATTAAAACGTTGAAGTCTAAATCTTGTTTATTTGTACATCTCCATTCCTCTTTTTAGAAATGTGAGAGACTTGAATTTAGTTTTCTTCCCCATCCAAAAAACTTGTTGAGCCTTCTCCCTAAACTTATTGCATCTTAAAGCTATGTACCAAAAAGCACTGCATACCACCCCACATACCTCATACCTGTCCTTACTCATGTCTTCAAAATGACAACTGACAATATAGTTGTCAGAAACTTAACACTTTGGGGCTGGCCTGAAGGATGCAACAGTAAAGGTCACACAGCCTAAATCAACGTGATTATTTTCATGGAATGTTCTGTTTGGGCCACTCCTGTCTGTAGAGGGCTGCCTTCTGTCTTTGAGTATTCAAAGATTCCTGCAGGTAACTGGCAATGAAGGTCTTCAGAAATGGAAGATTTTAGCTTACAGTTTGCTAGATTAAATTCTGAGGTTTTATACTTCAAAGCTACGGTTGTTTTGGGTAGGAAAAGTGTCCTTACATAAGTTTCAGTTGTTGCATGGAAGGTCTTCTGTTTGTTGAAGTGTATGATAATATAGCCAGAGGAGAAGATCCAAACTCTGATTCCATGTAGGTATCATTTGAAGAGAGCTAGCTTGTTGGGGGGGATGATTCTTCGGCTTTTATTTCTTCTTTCTTTTTGTATCATGAGGCATATACAATATATAATAATTTGCAATTTAAAAATAAGCCTATATTCAGTCGCATTAACTCATTAATAGCTTGCTTAGTTGTGAGTAGATCACTGTTCCTGAAATGCATCTTGTAAAACTTTTATAACATTGAACATAATCATGTTTTACATAAACACCTGCCATGTTTGCATGTTCGTAACCCATTTTTTCTCATTTCTGTAAAATTATGTGTTGAGAAAAACTGCACACTATAAACTGCACAAAAATCCCAGTCTTTTTTCCTTCATTTTAAATGTGTTCTGAAACTAGTTCTCCTACTGTCCAGACATAAATATCTTATAGGTGTGTGTATATATGTATTGCTATAAAACTGTATGTATTACTATGTAACTATATGTATTGCTACAGAACTATAATATGTTTAAGTAATCAAACTCAAGTTTGGTTTAGACATAGAAGCACAAAAGGCCACCAAAATGTCAGGAAGAAAACTGCAATCTAGTTTTTATTTTCTCTACAATCAATGCATGCACAAAACAATTTAAGTATAATAGAAAATTTGCAGTGATGCATAATGTTGGTATATATTTTGCATACACAAAAATTTACTTAGAAACAAATCTGGAATGACTAACCATGTCTTGACAACAAAGTTTCTTCGTTCTTGTCACTCATTTAAAAATGTTAGACTCTCCCCAAAACAGCAGACTCTCAGCGTACAAGTGAATCATGCAGGAATGTTCTAATTCAGTCAAGAAATTCAGGTTTTGTAATTATTTTAAAACAGAAGACTTAATTTTGATATTGTCAGGACTAGTCCTCTGAGCCTTGCTGTATCTATAGCTGTGCAACTGGCAGTATTTCAGACTTCTAAATCAGCAGTGAACATGATCAGTAGTAGTACATTTCTAGATCTTTTTTAATTCAGAAATTTGTTGTCAAAAGTTAGAAATCCATCTTTATTCTCTTTATAATGAAAATTTGTCAGTGTTTTTCCACAGAAAAATCTCAAGAGTTTTGTTTTAATTTTTTTTTGTTGAATTAATTGCAGTTTCTTTCCAGTGTTTTATCTGGCCTTTGTCACTGCTCCCAAAGTTTTTCCTTGGACTTTGTGCTGCCTCTGGCCATGTTAATCTTTGGGCTGCGCCCAAGAATTATGTTGTTGATCTTGCCCAAAATCATGAACCTATATCCGTTGACAAGTGAGTGTATCATGGTCAGATGGATGAAACACTGGTAGACTGCCATACAGTTCACCCACGCTCGTGACAAGTACATGCAGACACCGAGACAGCTGTGTAGTTCTTTGTGCATTATTTGACTTCAACCAAGAAAAGTAACATCTGTGTATTTTACAGAAGTCTGTTCTAGAGGAGCAACTTTATCAGCCTTATTTTTACTGTCTAGTTCATATGTCAAAACCATAGCTATATCCAAATCATACCTTACAAATTTTGCTAATTGTGATCATTATCAAATGTTACATGTGTTTTTCATCTTTCATGAAGCGTTCTTATACAAGCAATTTGCTATGTTTCTGTAGGGGTTTTTTTGGTGCTAGGTATATCTGTTAAAGTATATTTTGTAAGGCAACATAACAGGAGACTTAGCTTATGGGCATAACAGAAGTTTGATGAAATTTTGGTCTTATTTATTACAGATGGAATAAAACACCTTTTAGGATGTAGGTTCTTGTTGATGTGTTATTCGTTTATATTATCTCCAAAAGAATTAAATGTATATATGTAAATGAGATGATATTTTAACAAATAAATAACAAATACTTCATCAGAGCAGTATTAGTAAGAATCTGGGCTGCCTAACACCTTGTTTCTTGGTGAATTGGTAGGATTTAGAGCTTTTTAATTGGCACTCCAGCAGACTTCTATTCTAAATCACCTGCCTTTTCTTCCTCTTTAATGTCTCAGTAGCAAAAAAATTGTTGCTGAAAATTGTAACTGAAATTTCAAAAATTCCAGTTCTACTTACATTGCTTCCTTTATTTTTGGTCAAAGATAGAGTATTTTTTTCCCCCTTTTCCTGTTTACAAAATTTGACTTGTAAAAATAAATGCTTTCAGGAAGTTCAGATAGATTAATTTTTCAATTTTTCAACTTTTCTCCTAGAGAAGGTTTTGATGTTATCTTTAATATAGATGAAGCTGCTTTCATGGAAGGGTTTAATTTTTAAGATAGAACCACTTACAAAGAATTGCTTTGATCTGAGTGATGATTTTGCAGTCTTGTGGGGGGAAAAAGAAATCTGTACCTGAAATTTCTAGAAGGGAGGACAACTACATTTAAATATCATCAATATGAAGCTTATTCATATTTGAAGACGTCCCAATTAGAATTCTCCGTAACTAATACTTAGCTCCACCATTGTGATATGTTCTTGCAGGTTATGAAAAAAGAAAACTGATTCCTCCTTATGTGTATAAGCATAATTCGTGATTTTGGATGGAAAGCAAGTCTTATTCACAGGAAATCACTTGGAAACATGACTGACCTTAATATTTACTTAAGTCCTGTGCTGAGACCTAATCTCAGTTGTTAGTCTTTGTAACAGACTAGGTACTTCTGTTTTCCCTTTGTGGTTTAGCTCACCATATTTTGCTTTTGGCTAGTGGCAGCCCTACTTAACAAAAAGATTTCTTTTGAATTTACAACAGTTTTGTTTCACGGTGTTTTTTCATCAGAAATTCCAGCCCTACTGTCTATTTTATCCATGGCTTCTAAGCCATTCTGCCATAAAATGAGCCATCAGTACCTGCCTGTTCTTGAAGGTTATAGCTGAAAATGAACAGGACATGAGAAAGGCAAAATGTCAATATTATATCTTTTCAATTTGTCGATATAAATTTCCCTCCTACTGTAAAGCTGTGTTTGGCGTAACAGTAGACCATAATCGCTCAGATGCTGGTTTACTTGAGGTTAGTAGTTTCAGAGATGTAGTCATCCTTGGAGGATTCCTAATGTACATACGTGTGTGTGTGTGTATGTATGTGTGTGGGAGTTGTAATTTCCTTGTATTTTACAGTTCCTAATGTATTAGTATAAGAGGAATTCCTCAAGAAAGCCATCATTTTGGAGTTTCTAGGTAGCAGAAAGAATATATAATGGTAACATTTCTACACTTTCCTCTGTATTCCCTTTGTTTGAGGCCATCAAAAAGGTGTTGGCCTTTTTCAAGGCTCCAGAGTCAGCTTTTCTCCCAGGTGACCTGGACCTATAAGTGAATATTATTTGCATCATGTATTTTGTCATCCACCTTTAAGATTGATTTATAAAAAACCCCACCCTCTTGCATGATTGCTGAGCTCTGGTCATTTCTCTTTCACTTCTGCTGTCACCTTTTGTTTCCATTGTACTTGCTGCTGCTTTTTTCTCATCTTCATCCTCCCTTCCTTTCTTGTCCCTGGGAATTTCTCCATTAAGTTTGAACTCTCCTGTTCACCATAAAGAGTCTAGATCTATGGTTGAACAATCCTTCAGCACCAAGAGATCTTTTAACCTTCTTCCACCTCCTTTTGAAACCACTTTTACACTTACTTTTCCCCCAGAATAATTTTAACAATTGTTTTCATATCATCATATCTTCCGTGGTCAAGTGACCAGTTGGAAAAAATACATTTACATCATAATGTTATGTTACCTTGAGGAGCAGAGCAAGGCAGTAATAGCACCTCTGAAGCCAGAATAAAGTTGTGCTTAATTGTTGGCTTAGAGGTCCCTATATATTTTAATTAGTTGTCCTATTATTACCCTAGAGTGCTTTAATTTTAAATGAAAGATAATAGCTGCCTTATCTCTAAGGAAACTGGTCTTGATTTTATTAACTTACAGGACAGAAGAATAATTGGCACATATCATTGTCCAGAAATGTATTCAACAAAGGTATCTTTCATTGTTTTCTAATGTTCTTTTCCTCAGAGACTTAAAATTCAGGTCTTGACCACTTATGGTCATTAAAGATCCCATGGCACTTTTTTATAGCGTGGTCATCTCAACCCCAAGCATCTGGCCAAATATCAATTTATGTAACTGTTCCGCTTACCTAACATTCCCCACCACCAGTCACCCACGCCATAGTTTCAATTGGCTACAGCATTCTCCATTTCCTCGACTAAAATATAGTGTATTGTTCTGCACTGTCAGTCACCACATTTCGCCTCAGAGGTGATTGCGCTTCACTGGGAAGTGAAGTGGTTCTTCTTTCTAATGCTTGTAAAGCGCTTTGGGATCCTTTTGAATGGGTGGTGCTGTGTACAATAAACGTAATTCATTATCATTCTATCTCAGGCTTCATTTAGTTACAAAAGCATGTTTTATTTAGAGTTGGGCGAACCTACTTGGTGGAAATAATACTCCCAGCTCTCTCTAATCTGACAAGGAACCTTTTGTCAAAGGTTGAATTTCTTCCTGGGTTTTTTTGTTGTTGTTTGTTTGTTCGTTTCTTTTATTTTCACATACATTTGTACTTCTGGATTGGAACTTTTGGAGTTCTTCAGATTGAGAATTCAAAATACCATGAAAAATGCAGTTCTTGTTGTGGTCAATCCACTGTTCCAGGTGCAGGAGGGTCAAATTAGTGCTCCAGAAGCACCTGAACTTTGTGGTGCTTACCTGGCTATTCTAACACTTGAAGGTTCGCCCATCACTAATTTTTACTGTATTTTGCATTATTTCTTCTGAAAAATTCTTGGAATATTGAAAAATGCTGTGCTCCAACTCTGATATCTGTGTGATATGTGCAGAAGATGACACTGCCCTAGAAGATAATTTAGAATATTGCTGAATGTTTGTTCTGCCCATCATCACTAATCTTACTAACTACTGCCAAGATTATCAGATATCTGCAGCAGTTTGCTGTGTTAAGACATGTGCTGAAATAAGAACAGAAGTGACAAAAGAATCAAAGTAAAAAGTTAACTGAAGGAGTGATATCATGTCACTAAAACATGTCTGTATTCAACACTAGTAGACAAAAGTAACTTTTCTTGCATTTGTGTTGCACAGAAAGTGTATGAGTGTGTAAAGAGCACTCAGATTTCTAATATCATTGCAGATCAAAAAGATAAAATGCTTAAAGCAGATTCATCCTAAGAAGATTTAAGATGTGAACAAATTTGTTGGCACTAAAATCTTTCCAAAGATAGTATCTTAGAATGCACAATGTTGAGGTGAAAACAACCCGGGCTCTGGGATAAGGGGTGAAATGATTGCTTTAGTTGGTTATGTCCAACTTCCCCTGATCTCATTGGAACTGAAATTTCTGTTCTTTTCTTAAGGGTATGTAAAACTATGGAAAATGTAGTTTCCAAATGGCTTTGCACCCCTCTTGTAAGATACTTCCCCTGTTTGTTTTTAAGTGTTCTTGGGATCGATGAATGCCAAGTGCCTATAATTGCTTTTATTTTCAGGATACTGAAAGTCTTATTATTTGTCTTGAGATCTTATAACAAAAATGATAGCAAATTTTGTCTTACCCCAAAAACCACATAAGAATTTTCTAAATAATTGCACTCATTATAAGAAAATGTTTGAAAGCTCTCCATAGAAGTTTCATATATTCTTATAGATCTATTTGAAAGCTTTTGCGTATGTTTGCTTTTGTTGTATTACAGTAGCAGAATACTCTTTTTGCCTTAGTTTTGTCTAATACAGATGAAAACTGATTTGAAAACTGATTTGATGGCCTTCCTGGCTAGAACGCAGTGTTTCCTCCCATGATCAATATTATGCGACAGAGCTCTTAAAGGAATTTGTCTTGAGTTCCAGCTCAACGTACCCATTTTTCCAGTGCTTCTCAAAAAAGATTAACTAAAAAAGTCAAAGGTTTTAGATGGCTTTGATGGAAAGCAAGCAAAAATAGGTGATTTTGGTTGCTTCACATTGAGTCATTACATTTAACCTAAAACTAAAATATAATATAACTAGAGGGGTGCAAACTCACATAGATTGGGGGGGGGGAGAGAGGGAAATCTGGCGTCTCGGCAATGCCAGTTTTTATGCCTCACTTGAACAGATGTAATCACTCAAATGGCAGTGTTTCAGTAGGTCCAAAGTACTCTGAGTATCTCACTTCCCAGTTCATAGTACTATGCAGTGGATGCTACTAAAAAGCAACTGTTTTCAACCCAGTTCTTTCACTGTGCCATGTGAAATATTACATAGGTTTTTTTGATACCATCAAATACAGTGCTATATTGGGTAGTGCAGAGAGGTACCTTCTGCTGACTGCTGCCTTCTAAATATTACTGCCATATTATTGTTTAGAAATCCACAAAAGTCACAGTTTGTGCACTTCCAATAATTATTATAGTCTATTAGGTACATGATAAATGAATAATGTGGCTGAGTTGTTCGTAAAGGAGACCAAGGACAGTTTCATCTCTTATTTGGCCTGGAATATGTCTGCACTACCATCACTAAGTCAGCGTACTTAATTAGCTGCTCATTAGCTATTATTGCTTTTAAAGTATTTTTATTTAATTATACTCTGTAATCACACAGTTCAAAATATATGCTTAGAGGGAAGGCTGAGGAGAATTAGAACTTCCTAAATGGCCTTATATTTGTTTCCTATAAATGTATTATTTTGAAGTTCTACCATGCTTCAGATCTACTCTAGATTGCCTAAGAGTAGAATTTAGTTCCTCGTCTTTGAAATCCTGTTGATTGTCTAAGAGCTTTCTTTAAAACATTGCATTAATTATTTTTCACTGAATTGCCTTTAAAAAAAAAAAAAGAGTAGCTAAAACTGCCCATTGAAACAACTGTTCAATGTACATTTGATGTGATTACACTCTGGATATGTTTTTCCTTGCTTGGAATGGCAGATCTCTGCTATTCCACCATTCAGGTCTCCACAGCATGCGCTGTATTTATGAATTTCATTGGCACTAGGGAATGGAGTTTCCACATAGATATAGTTAGACTGTGTCAGTGCCTTTCCCCAAATAACCAGCAGTCCCGTTTGGAATATAGGGACTGAAATTTTGCATTCCGTTGTGCAGTGCTCTCGGCATCGTTTTATAGAGGCAGAGAGACCTTGTGAATACCTGAAGTTTTTGTCAGAGCAGAAGCTTTCAATTGAAAACAAAGCAGACCCTTTTCCATTTGATTTCCCTCCAAAAACCCCGAAAAGTTCAATATTTGCCCCAGATATCCTACCCAGTGGCAGAGTCCCACTTTCAGGAGCTGAGCATGTACTCCATTTCCAGGTATTGTTTCTGCTTACAGAACATGAGGTCTAGGGAAATACCATTTATTCCATTATACTATACTGGCCTTATTGCTCCTTGAGTTCACAAATAAATGACGATAAATACAGTCACGGCTGTCCTTAAAGTCTTTTAGACAGGCTGACATCCAATGAATTAGTAGTGTGAGATCTAGCCCTTATCAGCCTGGCTTCAGGTTGCAACCGACTGGGCTTCCCTTCTCCTCTGTTAAGTCTGCTTTCCTGTTTTTTACAGATGGATCCACATGAAAATATTTTATTGAGCACACTTGAAATTAAAAATGAGATGGCTGCCTCTGAGGCTGTGATGGGGCTTGGGGACCCTAGAAGCACTATGCTGGCGTATGACACTTCAAGCATCCAGTACCGGAAAGCTGGCTTACCCAGACACAGCTTTGGTCGCAACGCCCTGGAGCGACATGTGGCACAGAAGAAAAGTAGGCTACGGAGACGTGCATCTCAGCTGAAAATCACCATTCCTGACTTGACTGATGTAAATGCCATAGATCGATGGTCGCGCATATTCTTCCCTGTTGTTTTTTCCTTCTTCAATATTGTCTATTGGCTTTACTATGTGAACTAAGAAACAAAGCCACATGGGAAGCAAGAACTGGATTTCTCTTCAAACTGGTTGTACAGCCAAAAGTGGGACTTAGAAAAATTCTATTCAGGACAAAATGTTATTTTAAAACACCTTAGTTGCTGGCCCACTCTATGGTCTGTTTTTATAATGTTTTGGTTGTATCTGCTAAATCGTAAATGTGTTAAGTTGCAGTATGGACGCATCCCCTTATCAAAATACAAGTGCATTTTGAGTGTGAAGGCAAATTGGATTTTGACAATCATTTCTGTCTCATTGTCCCTCACTCTCTCTCTTTTTCTTTCCTTTTTTTTTAATGGCTGTTATAGTGATAGAAATTGCAGAGCGGCATTTGAGAAACAAGTTCTAGTTTGAACAGCAGTACATACCATTCCCAGGGAAACTGCATATCCGAGACATGCATCTACGCTTAAGAGAGTGTATTAAGTTACCATTCTTATGAAACACACACTTTACCTTTTAAATGTGTAAACTTGAAAACAAGCAGTGCCTACCATCTTTCCAAGATGATGATGGTCAGAGGTTTCCCAACCATATTCAGGTATTTCCTGTTATTCATTGAATGAACTAAACCTTTGACTGATAATGTTAGGGTTTGGTGTTTGCAGAGAAGCTGAAGCAAAAAGCACTAGTTTTGTTTGGATTTTTAAAGAGACAACATATGCTCACAGTCAAAATGACTGTAGTGATCAGTAGAGGAATGTAGCAATGGTATGAAAACGCATCAGCTCTGAATGGGTAGATATGCTGCTGTTTTGTGTTGGGGAAAGGGAATCATTTGTCCAAGTGCCAAAATTGGTTGGCCAAATAGTAATTCTCCAGGTGGCTGAGGGAAATCAATGGTGCCCATGGGAAATCAATGGTGCCCTGCCTTTCTAGGGCAGGGGGTGCTAGAGAGCAATTGTAAAATACAGGGCCAAGGAGAGGGATGGCTACACATGTGTAGAAGAGTATGTGTGTGTGTGTATATATACACACACACACATATATATATACTGTGCAAATTAATGTTGTCTGATACAGTACATACCTTAGTCTGAAATACTCATGTGGAGTTGTGTGATTCCTTCTGAGTTTGCAATCTCTCCAGTGTTATGCGTGCTGCCGTTGTTATGCTGAACACCTTGCATCCAGTTTGATTAAGGGTATCGTACCTCTTTCGACAGTAAAGATCCAAGCATATGTATTTCAGTAGGGAAAATACTGATAGGGTATTTTCTCAGTCTGGATTAGGCAATGCCATTTCACTTTTTGTTTTGTTTTCCTTAATGCACTGTTTTAAAGAGAAAAATTTGGTAGCCATCACTTTAAGAGTTTAATTGCACTCTTGAATGATTCCTGCTTTAGGGTGATTTCCATTGAAAAAACTAGCAAATTTCAGTATTGCTTTAGGAAACTTTTTGAAATAAAAGGGATTTTTTCATTCTATAGAGTTTTACTCTTATAGGCAAAATAGAATAGACAAAAAATATAATTTTTTAGGCAGTTTGCCATTTAGTCCATTGTGGAACCGTTTTCTGTAATAAAAAAAAAATAAATTGCAAGAACTGTATAAAAACTATAAATTCCTGATGGCTTTTACTAAATCAGATCCCCAATATTGTTTGAAGCAAATATTTCATGAAGCAAAAGCCACATCTGTTGTATCTATGCTACCTCTCATCTGCGTACAAATTCCTGAAAGAGACTAGAATTCGAGTATCTTCCAAATAGTAAAGGAATTTTTTCAGGCAGATACTGTTTCCCCATTTAAATATTCCCCTGGCAATATTTTTAGGATAGTTCTTAAGAATATTTTTCATAAAATACTGATTTTGTTGTTGTTATTGTTCTTGCTTTGAAAGAGTAATTTTCATACAAGTTTATGTGGGGGTTTTTTCCCCATTTGACAGTGAATGACAGTGATAGGAGGAAAACAGTTCTGGGAACTACTAGGCCAATTTTCTGACTTTATTTTGAGCATATCAATGCTTATTTCTGCTTCAAATGGGGGAGAGTAGTTCTGAGCCTGAAATGGGATTTGCCAGGCAGACACACCAGCTGTTGTTTCCAAGGGAGTTGTTGTGTACGTTCACGTACTGCCTTCAGGTTCAGACTCTACAATATGTAGAGACAGGCTTTCATCATGCGATTCACTTTCCAAGTCAAAATGTTGCTTTTTGTTCACATACTTAATTTCTGACTGCATTTCATGCATAGCACAATCAGCTTTGTAGATGCATTTGGAATTTCAACTGATAGGTAGGAATCATGCTGGAATTTTTTGCCAGTTCTAAGAAAAGGAGACACATCAAAATTCAGTATTTCTCTTCAATGTCAGTTCTTTAAAAATGATATTAATTATCATAAATAAAAGCAGTCTTATAATATTCTTCCGTACAAGCTTTTCTTTCATTTCACAAATTGCTGCCAACTCCTTTTTTTTTATTTCACAGAAGCATAGTGTGAATACAGGGAGCTCACAGCCTGTTTGTAGTTGATCTGCATCAAATATAAAACCTTGCAGAGAATATGTTGACTCTCTGCATTGGTTTACTGCATCAGCTATTATGAAAACCACAGAGACTGAATCCTAGAACTGCACATTAATTTATCTGAAGTTACAGTACAAGCCATAATACTCTCTGATGTCGCTCTTCAGAGAGTGAAAGAAAATGTCTGGTTTCTGCTCAGGTGTCACTGGGAAAGAGATATATCTGGGGGAAGGAGCACTTTCGCTTTTACTATGTCCTTCTGGCTATTAATGTGATGTATAAATTTAGTGAAAGAGAAGGATTCTATCATTTTGTACTAAGGCTTAACACTGTGATATAAAAAGATGGGGGTAAGAAAGACGTGCAAGGCACTGTCAAGGGAAAAGTATAACTCGAGCCCAAGGTGAGCCCTTACTCCTCTTCCGAGATACTTGAGTGAAAGTGAGAAATTATGCCAACATACATGAGATACGGGGTTTGCTATGCGTGCTACCCTCCAGGTAAACTACAATAAATTTGCTTTTACTTTAGAATTGACCGAAAATTAATATTCTAGATCTTTTTAATCGTGTTAATTGTTGTTAGCTTCAATACGCAAAATATCAAAGTTAATAATTTAGATAAACCTTTTAATATAATTATAGTTGCACATTTTACTGTTCTATTAGACATGATAGCCAGCAATTAAGGTGTTTTTCATCTTTGTGAAATTCATGGGCAAATTATGACTATGACATGGCACAGTTTTAATGAAATCTTTGCGATCAATCTGTAAATATATACTGTACATGACTGCTAGTAAGTATGATACACATTTTCAAAACTGAAAATCCATGCAACATATTTCTGTGTTTACATAAGGGATGTTATGTTTCTATCCTATCGCAGTTTAATGACTGGGAAGAAAGACTCAAGCAATGACATTGTGACCATTTCTTTTCTCATTCCCAGGGGAGGAAAACAGTCTTGGGTAACAGCATGTTGCAGAGTTCTTCGGAGAGCTTTTTCATTCTAATAAAAAGGATATAAAATCTGTAAGGTACAAAAGCACAATGCATAGAGAAAATGAGTGCTGGTCCTACACCTGGGGAAAAATCCTGTTAATTTCAGACAAATATACATTGAAATTAAAGCTCAATTAGTTTTCACTATAATTATTAGACTGTGTTCCAATTCTATGCTGTAACACAGTACTAAACGTAAGTGGACAGATGTTGAACATTATCCAACTGTATGTGCATATGGACATATACCGAAATGTCTATATGGACATATGTGTGTATATATACACACGTACTAAGTATATATATATATATGCACACACATTCGTATGTTGGCGCGTTAAAGGAATAAGCTAATAACAGTTTTGTTTCTACCATCAACCAGTGTATGAATATATTTTTGAGAAAAAAAAAAGATTAATGTATTTAAAAAACCAACTTACTATACAGGGTAACTGGGCATTTCTATCAGCAGATCAACGCTTATAATTCGTATGGAGCATTGCACCGTTTGACATGATGATAGTACTGTACATCCTAGCATCTGAAATTAGACTAGTCCTCACATTGCTTGCCTATTTCTTCTCTCTCTTTTTATAACAGCATTGTCCACTAGTAAGTTTTCAAAACCAACACATTCCTTAGGGAACCAAGAAAAAAAAGGCAAAAATATTAACTATTTCTATCAAATAATCTAGGGTGGGATGGCCAGGGTACAATACTATATCAGTAGTGATCATAACATTTTGCTATGTGTACATAGAACATACAATGTGAGCAACCATAACTTAAGCTGAACGTGTGTAAATATTATCAGATTTCTTAAACATTTTTAACTTCTAATTTGTACTTTATGGTAAGGCAAAAAGCTAATTCTACTTATGGTTTAGGTTAATGTGTCCTAAAATTATGTAAATAATTAAATAAGCTGTAAATGAGCAGTCGATAGATAAGGTAATTGTTTAGTGACTTTTTTTTACTAAGTACAATAATTGCAGTGCTCTAGCAGAGTAATTTAAACACCCTTTTGCATAAACAGATTTGGATTCCAGCTATTAAAAAAGTACAGAAAGTGTTGTAGTGTAAAATAGCCATTGCAGCAATGTTACTGCTAGTACAATCGGTTCTTTTGTACGGTTAAAATGTTCAGCTGACAGAAGATGGTAGCTTGGCACTCAGTACTCAGATTAGCATAAACAAATAGGGCCTGGGTCTCACTTAAAATAGGGCACCTTTGTGTTGCTCCAGTGAGTGGAGAGGTGAAGGAATTGAGGGTAAGTGAGAATTCAGCTGTTGGTGATTTCGTTACAGAAAGCCTGCATATTGCGTCTGTCTGTTTCTGAAATCTGTATCTCTTATGGTATCTAATATAGACTTATATTTTTCTTTAAAAAAAAAAAAAGGATGTTTGACTGTCGTTAGATAGCATAGTCCCCCAAAGCCAAAGAATCTTCGCTCCAGAAATTGTTTAAAAGGGAAATCTTAATCTAATAAGTCACTGCTTAACACCAAAGGTAAAGCTTAATAAAATGCACTAGGAACTTTGTCTAAATTTTTAAGAAGCAAATGGAATGTTGATCAAAAATACTGCCCTATTCTACTTTGTAAAAATAGTAATAATTTAAATATCCATTAATATAAAATTGAAATAGATCATCTCTACAAGAATATGCAACGCTAACATTTCATAAGTATAAAATTATTTTCTTTGTAAGTGCTTTGACAAAAAATGAAACGATGAAAAATCTCACCTCTACTTTCATACTAAGGGTTGTATTTTTTTAATGTTTTTCAGACATGAGGTCATCTATTCCAATTTGATAACATTTTGTATGTTTTCACTGTTACTGTCATTTGACAGATACTCACCAGGCTGTATTGTTCATGGTCTGTCCTGTTACTTTCAGTTGAAGACAAAAAGAACATTTGAAACATGATTAATTCTAACAAACTGACTATGATTTGACTTCTATCACGTTTTTATTTGCATGGGTGTTTAAATGGTTCTGTTAGTACTGTCTTTGCACAGTTCTGATTTATCTTTTTTTACTTAGTACTATTTACTTCATAATGTAGTAATCATCAGCCTTACTAATGACCTTGTAGCCTTTCTTATATG